CATATGCCCCATAGCCATTTTTAAAGACTATAATAGAAATCAATTTTGTCGATACTCTGCTGGTTAGAGCTGATTTAATCTTAGCCACGGCGAAATAATTGGATTACACTTGTTTTTAGTAGGGCTTCGTGGTGTAGATTTTAAAGATATGGGTTATTTGTATTACCGTATCGAAGAAATATCTTCATATAGCCTCTTATATTCCGTGTTCAGAGCCAAATGGTGTCAAACGGGACACATTTATTTCTTATCTAGTTCTAATTTAGCATCTCGAGAAATGGCAGACTGGGTTGGCAGTAGAGAATCTATTTAGAACTAGTTTTGACTTCTGCTTATTAGTAAAGGGCGTAGGTATTTTATGTTGGATTGGGGGAGGAGTTACTTGGTTGAAGAAATTAAGATACTGTGTCTTCTCCTAAAAGCTTTGTTATCTCTCTTGCAGAAATTGTTTTTAAATCGGTTTATATTCCTCCGTTTGAAATCTTACGCTTTTTCAAATCTCTCCCTTTAAGTATCTGACGTCATTTGCCATATTTTATCTTTATCTGAGAGAGAGAGAGAGAGAGAGAGAGAGAGAGAAAGAACTAGTTTTGACTTCTGCTTATTAGTAAAGGGCGTAGGGAGTTACTTGGTTGAAAAAATTAATCAACATTTGAGAGAGATTGAGAGAGAGATTGAGAGAGAGATTGATAGAGAGAGATTGAGAGAGAGAGAGAGAGAGAGAGAGAGAGAGGGAAGGGGATTACTGATATATATCCATTGCTTGAGTCGGCCAATCCTCTCCTTCCAGCATTGACAGTTCAAAGACTTCTACTCCGTCTTTTAGGCGATTAATTATTGTCCGGCACACGACCATCTCATACCGACGCAAAGCCTCTCGCTATCCTATCGCTATTTCCATGGATAAAATAGATCTGACGAGCTACATTCTTAAGTTCCACTAGTTCAGACCTTTACAGCTAAGATATCCTGTATACAGGGGGAACAACCCTTATTTCTTTCGTGTTACATTGATAAAAGGAAGTTCATTCGGACAGATTGTTTCTGAGAGCCGCTACTTAATGGAACATTCTGTCAAGAGGATTCTTCCCTGAACACTTTAAGTCTGGGCTCAATCTATATTCTACATAATGTGTACTTCTCACTCCTCTACCTAGTTGCATATAATACCGTCATTTAATAACCCGCTATCATAATTGAATTTGGAGCATTGTAGTGCATGTATATATATATATAGTAAAAAAAATATCTCTCTATATTTCTGGGATGAGGTATTAGGTACACTATTTACATTATTCGGACTATTGTCCTCATCTTTTTCGCCATATTTATTACAACTAACGCCGCCATATTTATTACTAACTAACGCCTATATACACTGCGCCATGGGTTTCCTCAAGGACACATGGCACAATGGATAAAGACATTAGATCCAGCGACAGGGCCCAAAAAGAGTGTGAGTTCAATACCCGGTTAAGGCAGTAGAGAACTTGGAGAGGGGAATTAAGAGGAGGAAACTGATAACTGACATCCATTAAAAACATGGCACGTGGAACTAGAACAGTCTACCCCAGTGAGCGAAATAAAGGGTTCAGTTCGACATTCCAAGCACCTGAAGAAGGCTGGAGTGTACAACAACAGAAACCTTGTAATAAATTAATAAATATGGCGACAAACATGAGGACAATAGTCCGAATAATGTAAATAGTAAAATAAATATTTTAATATATTAAGAATTGCCATATTTCGGAATTATACTTATGACGTACACATATGACAGAATTTCCTACCAAATTACTTCCTTGGCTAAATTCGATTTTCACATGTCTCAGGGCGGATTCTGTAGAGATATTAGTAATCTTGGTGCAGAGATTTATAAGTTTGTTTAAAAATTATCAAACTTCACTTGGATATGTCCATATTTATGAGATGAGTTATTGTAACTATTTATAATATTTATATCGTTCGAATTGTTGTCCTTATCTTTATTGCTATATTCACGACATTTCAGAAGTTGTACACTCCGAGTTTCTTCAGGTGAGATAAGTTGGAATTTCGAAGCGACCCCTTTATTTAGTCGGCTGAGGAGACATGGCCCAGTGGACAAAAGCGATGGTTGAGTGATCCAAAAGAGTGATTTGACCCAAAGAGTTGTACGTTCAATTCCTGGTCACAGCCGAGGGAGAAAAAATCTCGTAGAATTGAATTACTAAATGAAATTAACTGAAACTGAGATACGTAGAATGAGAAGAATCTAATCTCGTGGACTAAATATAAGGTTCGGTTTGAAATTACAACGTGTATCACCTGAAGAAGGCAGGAGGGTATAACGTCCGAAACGTCGTGAATATGGCAAAAGAAAAAGAAGAGGATAACAGTCTGAATGATGCAAATAGTGTAATGATTGATTTGGATTATCTTGTTAACACAGAATACAAACTATAATTTCGTATTGTTGATGTTTCAATCCGAAAGATGTGTGCTGTTATGACCACGGGAAATGTAAATAAGTGGTAAATGTTATACCGAGAATTACTGGTTTAAATTTGCAACACTTTCTCTAATTGCTTTTTTATTTTTAAACATTGACATTGTTTTATGTTATTTTGAGACTTAACTAACGTAAAATAACAATTTGAAAAATGACTTAAAGGTCAACAAAAGAAGACAAAAAAATCCTGGACCAAAACGTAAAATAATGAGGATTGTTTTAGAAATTCAAATACTCTTATATGAATTTCTATTAGCGTGAAAAACAAAAACAAAAAAAACAAAAACAAACAAAACAAAACAATATGGAGGTGTAGTAATGATCGAAGAAATAACAAAGCTATATATCTTATCTAAAGGATGCCTAGTGGTTACATACTAAGCTAACACAGAACCTTGTTATAAAGTAGCATTTTGGTCGGACGGTATGTGATGTTGTAGTCAACTCTTTTCCTGGCGTCAAACTGATCGCTCATTCACAATGTTTTTTTTATTTTTTTTTTTTTATCATTGCGAAGTACCGTAGCTGAAAAAAAATCCTCCATGATTAATTATGACACCGTATTACTTTTTCTTCACTTAACAATATGTAGAGACAATATGACATTACTTTTTGCATTTGTTAATTGAGAATCACTAATTTAGAAAGAAAGATGCACGTTCTGATATCTTCCTGGAACTTATTTAACGTTTTCTGTTAATGTAACGTTCCAAGGCAACTTATATACAATCTTACAAATTAACATTGCAGGCACACAGTAGGGAATCAATCGAAAGAATTGTGTGTGTGTGTGTGTGTGTGTGTGTGTGTGTTTCGTTTGGTTGTTTTTGCTTAGCGGCATATCAACACAACTATGGGTTATTCAATGCCGGAATCTAAATTTGAAAATTCTGACTTTTATAATTAATTCAAGAGAATGAAAATATTTCATGATTTGATTAGAATTACTTACGTTCAAGTTTTTAAACAATAATCTTACAAAATCAAGCGAGGAGTGAAAACATTTTTCTCTTTACAATAAATGAGATTAATTTTTTTAATTTACAAAAAAACTTGTTGTTAATTTTTTTAATATATATATATATATATATATATATATATATATATATATATATATATATGTGTGTGTGTGTGTGTGTGTGTGTGTGTGTGTGTGTGTGTGTTTAAAAATAAAAATATCATTAAGAACACCGGATTATATATATTACTATTCTTTCTTTTTTCAATTTTTTATATATAATTTATATATATATATATATATATATATATATATATATATATATATATATATATATATATATATACTCACTGGGCATTTTACTAAGTACACGTGAACTAATGCAGCTTTTCTGGAAATTTTCTATCAGTCAATGAGGTGGCAGCTAATTAATATTGCCCATTTCATTATTACACCAACACCAGTCTGAAACAGTACAGATAATTATTTTTTGTTTATATCCAATTCTTACCTTAGTATTCTGCATGACTACATACCCCAGTTTATGTCTACAGTTCTCGCTTCCAGCAGGACATTGCATCGTGTCCCAAATTAAAAAAAAATACTAGTAGATTTATTTATGGAAGACATCATTAAGTTGTCCGTGTGAAAGTAAGAAGATCACACTAAGAAGATCTCAGTCACATCGAACACCTTCTGGATGTGGTGGAATGGATAATTCCTATTCTGGATGATTTGACCAACCAATCTAGAAGAATTAAGTGATGTCATAATAACATAAATAAAGAGTTCTTTCAGAACATTCGAATCCATTCCAAGATGAACCGAGACAGTTTTAAATGCAAACTTAACGTTGTCGGCACAGAGTGGGGAATCAAAACGTTTTTACAGACTATATATAACATGTAGGAACGTAGCCACTTTGACGTGGTGTAATGATTAGCAAATTTGTCCCGCTAGATCAGTTATGACTAAGTAGTGAGTTCGATCCTCACTGGGTGCTGCACACTTTCGGCCTTGTGCCACATCTAAGCTACGTTTAGAAAATAAAAAGGCACCTTAGCGCGGTGTAATGGTTAGAGAGCTTGTCTCGCTAAAACAGTTAAGACTGAATAGTGAGTTCGATACTCACTGGATGCCCCTTACTTTCGGCCTTGTGCCACATCTAAGCTACGCTTAGAAAATCAATATAACATTGTAGACACGTAGTAGCCAAGTTATCATTATTTTTTGCCGGGATAACTTCATATTTTCTTGTATTTTATGAGCTGTAATTTTGAGGAAAATAGCATATAACTCAAAACACAGCCTAGAAACTGGCAACTCCCGAATAATGATTGACATCTTCATTTATAATCATTATGTTAGTCTTCTAAACTAGCATAAAGAATCAGTTTGGAAGGAAACCTCCACCAATTATACATAAGTAGAAATAAAATATTTACTATTTTTAACTCTTTCTACAAAGTATTCCAAATTTGTTCGAATCAATCTCACGGACATTTTGCAAGTATCTTCTGTTTGTTTTCTTTATTGTTCGTGATTTGGCGTGCGGTCCCATCTCGTTGAAACACCGGTTCTCGTGGCATCACCGAAGTTAAGCAACATCGTGTTTGGTCTGTACCTAGATGCGTGACCCCTTGGGATACCAAGTATAGTAAGATTCAATGTACGGGTGCTGAAATGGATAACGGTTCGGAGATTGGTGAGCCAGGTTAGAGTTCCATTCGGATTTGTTATATTCACTTAGCCGCAAATACCCTTGGGAAAGGTATGAATCCAGCTATTCTTTCCCCCTAGCTATGGATTAATTAGTAGGACTTGTATCAGTAAATTTATTATTATCTCAAAAAATTCTTACCACCTGAAACAAAAGATAAATTGGTCTTTAAATAAACTGCCAAATGTTAATAAACTGTTAAAAGAAATCAATCAATTAAAATGTTAATGTCTCGTTATATTTCATTTATTGCAAATATCTTTCATTAAGCAAGTTGTAGTAGTTTGTGCTTCATAGTTTTAAAAATATATTTTACATACGTTTTTAAGAGGAATCATTTTATGACATGCTAATTATAATATCAGTGTATATTTGGAGAAGCCTGTTAAATTAATTTTGAATAATAATAATAATAATAATAATGACATTGAAATGGAAATCTCAAAAATATGGCACATGAAACATCAACAATCCATATTGTATTTGGAGCCCTCGGATTGCTTAGAAAAAAATTCCAGTGGACTCATCGAAAGGATTCCTGGAAGCCCATGCCTTAAAGAAATACAAAAAATCGTTCTCACGAGTACAGCCCACACCTTACGAAGGGCTTTATCTATGTAAAATATGTGTGTGTGTGTTTTTTTTTTTGTTTATTTTCAATTGGTTAGTGGAAAATGTCATGATGCCATTTCTGACCTTAAAGTATCTGGGCGGGACCTGGTAAGAAATGAGTACACACCAGAAATGAAAGAAATAATAATAATAATAATAATAATAATAATAATAATAATAATAATAAAAACAGAAAACAAGAATAGTACCAGCCATAGTAGGTAGTAGGAAATCCCAGCGTAAGAGAAATACAAAAAATTGTCTTGATAATTACAGCCACACACTAAGAAGAACTTTGTCCATGTAACGTTTGTGATGTTATGGGAGTTAGAAAAACAAATCATGAAATGTAGCCATAACAACACAAAACTACTTGCCTTAGGTCTTCCCAAAGGCTTGCTACGTAGTGTGACCATAGTAGATATCGAAATATAATAATAATAATAATAATAATAATAATAATAATAATAATAATAACTGAACATTATATAAGAGAATGAAAAAATGCAAATAATATCTTGTGCATTTTATCATATAATATTTATTGGTAAAATAAAGGCAAATAAAGCAATAATCATAAATAAATGCTTAGATAAATCAATAAAAAGAAAATAAGAATTAGACGACGTGGGTCAGAGACGAAAATCATTCGATAACTTAATTACACACGACATGAAATTCGAACAGACAGAAGTGAGAGATGGGAAAAATAACTTGTATATATTTCAGCAATTGGCAGACACGAATAAATAAATCATTTGTTGAGGCAGAAGAAATTGAATTGTAAATCATGAATTTCTCACAATTGAATTTTGATCTGAAGTTTTTTTATTTCTTATAAGAAGCATGGACAGTCATAGAGTTTTGATTCACAAAACGGACTGAATGAAATTGTTCGGCTCAAGTGGCAAAGGATGACGCAAGGGCCATAGAGAATTGTCGAAGATTTAGATAAAAGGATAAAAGTCACATACGACAGAATCATTGACAGAGAAAAAACTGATTTTCAACAAGAAACAAAACAACTTGTAAATTCCCTTGACAGATGGATGGATATAAAGATACAGGGTAGTCCGAAAATCTTGTCACCATTAGATAATATAATTTTCTATTTCAGCTGGCTGACGCGAGGTTTAATTGTTTGGAAGAGGGGTAGGTGGTGACAAGATTTTCGGATCACCCTGTATAAACAAAGTGAGTTAATGCTGAACAGAATTCATGCAAACACTCAAACACAGGCACCATATTCTCTCGCTTTCTCTCTCTGTCTATATATATATATATATATATATATATATATATATATATATATATATATGTATAATTTCTCAGTAGAAAAGACAATATATATAAATGTAAAAGAACTGTGGAGTTTTTCAAGTCAAAAACGAAATGAATTTATTAAAAACAAAGTAAAAGAATTTAGAAAACGCTGTTTTATGCATATTGTCAATACGAATACAATAGCATTTCCTGAATTCTTCTAGTTGCTAAGGACATTTTGTTTTGTTGTTAATAGTTACTTTGTTTTTAATAAATTCAAACTGAAGCAGATAAGCTACAGCAACAGAAGGACTTTTGCCACACATGTTAGATATGAACAGGAAACTAAAGAAGGCTAAAATTGCGTTAAAAAGCAATTGTACCAGAGCGGATTGGAAAAGCGTTTCCTGGTATGATGAGTTTTGACCTCCGATGCGATATTTGGGTGGATGAACTAGAATATGGCATAAACAATGAATAATTTCTGTCTGACACCAATATTTCAGATAGTGTTGGTGTAATAATCAGATGGGCAATAGTTTTGGGGGGCCATTAAATTCCGCTGTTTATGTAGGTATTGGGACTGACCACATACTTGAGTTTGACTACCGTGGATCCATATTCTGGCGATCGCTTCCAGCAGGACAGTGTATCGTATCTCAAATAAATAAATAAATAAATATAAACAGTGGTAGATTGCTTTATGAAACACATCGTTACGTTTTCTGTATGAAAGTTTTCTACACACTCACTGGATGATAGAACACAATTGGGATATGGTGAAAGAAGTAATTCGAATCCTGGATGTTTAGCCAATCAATAACAAAAACTTGTAGGATGTCATAACAACAATATGAACGCAAAATTCGAAAGAGTGCTTACATCATATAGGCGAATCCATGCCAAGAAAAACCGAAGCGGCGTGCAAAACGAGGTTTGACCTACTACTAGAAGTGTATATCTAATAAGATAAATTGCCTCTCACTCTCTTTCTCTCTCTCTCTCTCTCTCTCTCTATATATATATATATATATATATATATATATATATATAAATGTGTGTGTGTATTTTTTTTGTCTATATATGTATATATATATATATATATATATATATATATATATATATATATATATATATATATATGTATATATATATATATATATATATATATATATATATATATATATATACGCAGACATATATATGAATCCATGCCAAGAAAACCGAAGCGGCGTGCAAAACGAGGTTTGACCTATTACTAGAAGTGTATATCTAATAAGATAAATTTTCTCTCACTCTCTCTCTCTCTCTCTCTCTCTCTATATATATATATATATATATATATATATATATATATATATATATATTTGTTGGATAGATGTGAGTTTGTGACCCTGGGTTTCACGCTTTAGCGATCGTCAGACAAACTGATTAATGTTTTAAAAAATTGGGGTTTATATAGATTGCGTGTATTGGTGTTATTGTGGAAGTGGTGGGGGAAATTTCGTCGTTTTCTCATTCATCGTACTAACGCAAACATCGATGTATGCAGACACATATACATACTTGGTCGTCCGTCGGGACTCATACATATATATAAACATATGTAGACAGTTTCGGCTATGACACATGTATGTATACGGGTGGTGTTATGTCTATACATACGCATTTGTATGTTGAAATGTTGAAATTTAAACATTGGAAGTGTGGCGGAAATGTCTCGTTAATGTCTCGTGAATGTATCCATGTCATATTATGAAATTTTTTTTTTTTTTTTCCGTTGAAAATAATAAGTACCGCGCATATAATATATAAATAATTTATATATATATATTTATTTATATTTATATTCATTTTTCACACACACACACATATATATATATATATATATATATATATATATATATATATATATATATATATATAAATGTGTGTATTTTGTCGTGTATATATATATATATATATATATATATATATATATATATATATACGCAGACATATATATATAAGTTAAGCGTTATGTTTAGTGCATACACATATTAAAGGCTCTATTTATTTGTTTACGTATACTGACCTGAAAAAGATGCAACCACTCCCGGAATATCTTCTCAAATATGGTTATTCAATAAATATAAAATATTAAGTGATAAAATCTGTCACATTTATAAGTAATGCATCCATGACGTGGGGGTTTTCGTATGTTGAATTAGGGACAGGTGCTGTTTATTCCTGCTACAAGGTCCAACTACAAGAACAATGCCGGAGTCAAACCGAAGATGTAAAGAAAACAAACAAGACCGATATATATATATATATATATATATATAAACATTGATATAAGAAATGTCAAAGTGAAATCTTTTTACATTTCTTTGAGTAACTTTATTAAGACAAATAGAAACTTTATTTAATAACCCCCTATTTATATACACAAAATAAGTAAGATAATTGGGGGGGGGAATTTCAAAGTTACTTTTCTGCGTGATAAATACAAGTTCCCAAATAAAATTTCTACATTGCCTTAATAAAGTTTCTCAAACAAAGATCTTGCAAAACGTGGAGTTTTTCGCGTTATTTAAAGGCAGAAAATATCTTCAGTTTGTAAGAATTTATTGGCGATTATGACGATTTTATTGATACACGTCCTACTATTTAACCCATAGCTGGAGGTGAAGATGTTGATTCATACCTTTCCTAAGGGTATTTTCGCGTAAGTCAATATAATGAATCCCGACGAGAATTGAAAATTAGCTCTCAAATCTACGAATTTCGAGCCGTTATCCATTCCACCACCCGCACATCCACGCTTTCATCACCTGGTAATTTCAAGCGGTTACTCATCTAATTACTGACTTGGCTGGATGTTGCTTAACTTCAATGATTGTATGTGCACCCGTGTTTCAACATGATACGTCTATAAGCCTTGTTCATATCGAATGTCGAAAGAATTTCTTATTTCATGAGACAGTTTCACAATTAGAAATTACGTAAATGATTAATCACGTAATAAATAAAATCATTTTAGGAATCAAATTCTAATAAGTAAGTAAGCGTGTCATCGACT